TCCCTAGGAATCGAGCTCAGAGATGCGTGCATGAGGGGGCGTCTATCAGAGGCAGCGAGGGAGACTCCCCTGGGCCGAGGAGGACACCCAGACTCTTGAGTCTCCCTCCCAGACGCTGGAGGAGTCTGGATTTGGGGGCACAATCTGGTCGATTTAAGCAGATGGAAACTTCTATCTTTAGGGTAGATCCTGCCCATAGCATGCACCCTTCACCCAAGGGACACCCACATGCATGTGTCCCCTCGTCCCCAAATATGTCTGTGGCACCTGCAGGTGGCAGGGGCTGACTCTGAACACCTGGACAGAGCAGGGACTAAATGGCCCCAGACAGCCACTGGCGGACTCACCATCTGAAAATAAAGAAGCACAAGAGACGTCAGATGGGGGGGATGCTAGGAAGGAAGGAAATGGGGTGATGGGATGGAGGGGGACAAAGTAGGGGTGACATAGGGTGGTCAGGGGAGGCCTGAACTGAAACTTGTGGGAGGGGAGGAAGCAGAAGATGGGGGGACTGTGATCCAAACAGAAGGAGCAGCACGTGCCAGTGCCCTGGGGCGGAGTGATTGGTGTATGGAGGGAGGTGGCTGACGTTGGCTGGAGGGGAGACGCAGGGAGATGAGGGCGGGAGGTCTGAGGGACTGGACCAGCGGGTCCCCAGCCCTGTGGCCAGGACTGAGGAGGGTTGTGAGTGAGGAGCTGACAATGTGATGGAGGTTTGGAGTACTCCCCTGTGGCCTCCAGGGAGGTGGGAGGGGGTGGCAGGGAAACCCAGAAGGAGGCCCCTGAGGTGTCCCGTGGGAGGTGAGCAACGTGAGCTTGGGGACTGCCCAGCCTTCACTAGGTTGCCGCCCCTGCCACCACTCGTGGCAAGGGAACCTCGTGTCCTCACCTCCAAAGTGGATCTGTGGTCCCTCAGATAGTGGAGGCAGGGAAGTAGGGGGGTGGACCCAGGGGAGGGTGGACAGGCGGGAGTGGGCAGTGGGTGGATTTGGTGGACAGACGGAGGTGGAGGGACGGTGGACGGGAGATGAGTGATCAGTGGATGGTCAGCGAGGCCGTGGACAGAGGGGTGCTGCTTAGTGGGCGGAGGACACAGGGCGTGGTCCAGGGCGGATGGCTGCGGGGTGGGGGGGGTGAGGGTGGAAGAGCTGATGGGGCTGGACAGTGAGCGTGGGCAGCTGGATTGGAAATGGGTGACTGGGTGGGTGGAGGGCGGATGGGGGAAGCAGGTGACAGCAGGTGAGTGGGTGGCACAGAGCTGACGGCTGGCGGGTGGACGGAGGGGAAAGGTCAGGCTGAGGGGTCCCTATGTGAACGGTGGACGGGGCTGATGGGTGGACGGTGCCGGGTGGTGGGTGGCTGGTGAGTGGTGGTTCACGGGTGGCTGGTTGGATGGATGGACAGTGGACAGTGAAGGGCCCTAGGTGGAAGGAGGGTGGCCAGAGGATGGTGGCAGGGGCCCCACTTGGATCCCTCTTCCCTGATCGCTGGTCCCTGCTGTCATTTAGGCCCCTCTCCCTCCACGGCCCCTGCAGCCAGCTCCGCCTCCCGACGCCTTCTCTTGGTCCCCCTCCCCAGGTCTGACTGGTTTCTCTACGACTGCCGCCACCTCCGTCACGTGGCCCTTGGCCTCTTCTGCTGCGGGGTCTCCGTCTACCTGGCAGGTGCGTGCGGGCCGGCACTCGGGGATGGCCCCTGGGCGAGCGCTCTGCCGCTGAGCCCCAGCCCAGCCCTTCTCACCAGTTTTACGTTTTGTTTGAACAAATTTTCCGGCTGGGTGTTTTTTATTTTTTTGTTTTGTTGTTGTTGTTGTTTGTACTGGGGGTTGAACCCAGCCCATTTTATTTTATTTTTGAGACAGGGCCTCACTAAGTTGCTGAGGCTGGCCTCCAACTTGCAATTCTCCTGCCTCAGCCTCCCAAGTTGCTGGGGCATCAGGTGTGCACCCCAACACCCTCCTAACAGGACACTTGTGGGGCAGGGGCTCAGGGGCAGGGCACTTGCTTAGCATGTGTGAGGCCCTGGGTGGGATCCTGAGCACCACATAAAAATGACACAAATAAAGGCCTGCTGTCCATCTACAGCTCCCAAAAGTGTTTTAAAAAAGACACTTCGTATCTTATATTTTAAGCTTGAAAAAAAAAAAAAAAAAAAAAAAAACATGTCAATGTAGAATCCACACTGAGGCAACACCTAGGCCCTGCCTTCTCTGGAAGCACCTGTTTTATTGGAAGGAAAACTAATCAGATTCATGAAAGACAAGGGATCAGCCATTACTGATTTTATTTACTTTTATTTTTTATGATTAAAGGATGTTTTTCCCCAATAGTTTTTTTTTTCCCCCCTGTGGTGCTGGGGATTGAACCCAGGGCCTTGTGCATGTGAGGCAAGCACTCTACCAACTGAGCTATATCCCCAGCCCTTCCCCAATAGTTTTTATAAATCTATTGTAAGTGGTTTATTTGTAATTAATAAATGTGGTACATGTTTATGGCAGCTATTATGATTTTCTTAGTCCCACAATAGAAAAATAGAAGATAAAAAATGATGGATTTAAAGTATTTTTTATGAAATATAAACCTAGGGTTCAATGTGGAAATTTGTAGGTAGATTGTTGTTTGACTTAATAAAAAGTTCTAGACGTGGGATTTTTAAAAAGGAAAGTGGAATCGGTGTCTCATGTATTTGAAATTCTCAGGGGTAGTTGGCTTCAAGTGCGGCTGGATCCAGGTGCTCCAGTGAGGTTGTGTGAAATGCCTCTTGCCTCAAGTTTCCTCTGTGTCCGCTGAGTGTACTTGTCCGAGAATGATGGGCTGAGACCACTTGGGACTCAGTACCTACAACCTCAGGCTTTTCATGGGCTGACAAAATTTTGAGGTCAAAAATATTGAGGAAAAATATATCCTCACATCCTCATTCTAAAATACAAGAAAATCACAGAGAGAAGAAGAAAGTCATTATGTCCGATTCATTAAGCATTAAATTGAGAATTCAGTCACCTCCCATTTACACTCCTTTAGAGGTTAGGTGACCTCATTCAGCAAGAATTCCCAAGCCCTTCCAGCCAATCACCCATCCACTGCTTCCCGGTGCCAAAAAGAAGAATCATAACAAACCCTTTCAAAATGTTTAGCACAAAGAAAGTCCTTGGCCCCATTTTAATACATCAGGCATGATGCACGGTGGCATCTTCAAAAGGAAGAGTGCAGCCAGGCGCGGTGGCCCACGCCTGTCATCCCAGCAGCTCAGGAGGCTGAGGCAGGAGGATAGCAAGTTCAAAGCCAGCCTCAGCAACTTAGCGAGGCCCTAAGCAGCTCAGAGAGACCCTGACTCCTCTAAATAAAATGCAAAATGGGGCTGGGGTGTGGCTCAGTGGTGGAGTGCCCCTGAGTTCAAGTCCTAGTTAAAAAAAAAAAAAAAAAAAAAAGAGGGCAGAGTCAGAGAAAACAGAAACAGCCCAGAAAGTGCCACAGAGTCCCCCAGCCCTCCTGGGTTTCTCTCCTACCTATACCCCTCCCACTGCGGGAAGAAAATCCCTGTGTCCCTATAGGCCAAGCAAAAGTCCCAGGGCTGACTCTGATAGGCTGCGCTGAAGTCACGTGATTTCCCTCCACCAATTACTGTAACAAGGGAGAGCAACTCTCTGGCCATTAGGGCCTCCCTAAATTGAAGAGGCTGGCCTTGAATTTATGATCCTCATTTCTCAGCCTCCCAAGTGGCTGGGATTACAGGTGTGTGCCACCACACCCGCTATTGCAGGATTTTCTATTGTCACTCTGCATGGGGGGGGGGTCCCTGAGGGCTTGGAGAACTGACCTGTGTTAACTGAGAGCCATTTCCTTCCCTAGCGCTGTCCATCTATGCCCTGCTGCTTTTTGAGATTGAGACGGGCGCCGCAGCGGCCTCCATCCTGGGCTCCGGTGCCCTGGTTCTGGTGGCCATTCTGACCCACACCCTGCTCCGGGCTGCCCGGGCCACCCACCATGGTCTCCGTGAACTGTCCCCACCGTCCTTTGAAGATAATACTGCACGCCCTGCCGAAGCCTCCAAGGACAGCCCCAGGGCTCAGCCCCAGCATGGTACCCACCGTCGGACCCCATATTCATTCTGCCTGGAGCTTGGGGACCCCCTTAGGGCCATGGCCACTGCCACAGCACCCAAATCCCTGGGGGGAGGCCGGGAGAGCAGCCTGCCTACACCCCGCATGCACCGGACACTGTCGCCTGGCATGGGGCCCTGGGAGGGGGTCACTCAAGAGATGCGGAGCATGCTGGGCCACAGACCAAGGGCCACAGGAAAGGACTCAACGCTGGTGTGAACCTGAGAATCAGGAATAGATAACTGGTGTCAGGTAGCAAGAAGCAGCTATCATAGAGATAGGTCCAGGCTCAGCTGCAGTAGCAGTAAGACTTGATTTCTCTTACAGTTTACATCATCCCTGGTTATGGTCTTTAAGATTGCCTCATGGTACAAAATAGCTGCCAGGGCTTCAGCCTTTATCTCCCCACAAGGAGGGAAAGTCAGAGTCCAAGCCTCACTCAGAGTCTTCTGAAAGTCTGCCTATGAGGCTTTGGGGCCCTTCTGCTTACCTCTCACTAGCCAGAACAGAGCCCCAAGACCAGATCTCCATCCAGGGAGCCTGGGAAATCTGGTTGTCCAGAATGAATGAAGTTCTGTTCCAGGTAGGAGGGGAGGCTGGGGCTTAGGCAGTGATTCTCTAAGTGTCTCCATCCATTTTACAGATGAGGAAACCGAGGCCCCAAGAGGGGCAGTGACTCACCAGAGGTCCCAGTTCTGAGCATCAGAGCCAGGATTTGCCCCTGGCTCTCATAAACCCCATGTTGCTGACAGATGGTGCAAGTCTCAGACCCCGCGCGAGGCCCCCCCCACCGCCCGGGGCTGTGAATGTCTGAAACCCATGTGTGCCAAGCAGCCCACAGCCAGGCGCAGACGCGGAGGCTGGACCCACCCACGCGCCTGGCTGCAGGCCAGTCTGCTCTGTGCCTCAGTTTCCCTGCCTGTAAAATGGGACTGGAAGTAACCCTGCTCTTCAGGCTGCCAAGAGACCCACGAGTCCATACGAGCCGGCTGGGGCCTGCGCACAGTAGGTCCTCAGCACACGCAACCATTTCTGTGTCGCTGGGGGTCGGTGTGCCTGGTGTCGGGAAATGGCCCGGGACGAGGCGAAGTGGCTTATGGACCTGATGGAGCTCGGTGGGCTGCAGGACAGGGACCAGGGTCCCCCACCCTCCACCATCTTGCACATCCTAAATAAACTCTAGAGCTCACCATCTCTGTGTCATTTAATCCATGTCCAAATGTCCCTGTGGCCAAGCTCAGGCCCGTGGTGGTCCAGGGTGACAGAGGGGTGGGCAGGAGCAGTGGACAGGGAACCTCCTGGGGCCCCAGCCCGGGAGCCCAGGTCCTGCCCATCTTCCCACATGTGAGTCTCCCTGGGAGGGCCCTGGCTGGCCCCACCTCTACCCCAAAGGGACAAATGTCCCCAGGAGGCTTACAGCCTGTCCCTCCCTGGGCCACCCAGGGACTCCAGGGCCTAGGAGTCAGGGTGGGCTGAGGCCCTGGTGGAACCCCTCCCAACAGGCAAAGAGGTGACAGCCCCCAGCGGGAAGCGGAGCCCTGAGCCGGACTCTGGGCAGGGACCCCACGTGGCCATCAGCCCAGCCCACTCCCCCGTGGAGCCGGGAAGAAGCTGCACAGGCCTCCTCAGGCCTGCAGATGGGACAGAAAGGTTTGTCCTTGAGCAGCCAGAATGGCGCCTGACACAGGGGCCCCAGCAGGGACAGACTTGGGACAGCATGGTAAACACCAAGTCCCAGGAGCACAGTGAAAAAATGGTCCGCAGGCGCAGTGGCGCTCACCTGCAGCCCAACCATTTGGGAGGCTGAGGCAGGAGGATGGTGGTCTGAGGCCAGTTCAGCAATTTAGTGAGGTTCTGGGTAACTTAGTGAGACCCTGAGTCAAAATTGAAAATTAAAAAAAGAAAAAGGGGGTAGGGATGAGGTGCTTAAAAAAAAAAGTTAGTTAAATGTTATGTGAATTTCACCTGAAGTTTAAAATAGCACTGAAGGAGGCACCTGGGCTCCGGGAGGGCCCCAGAGTGCGAAGCCAGGTCTCCGTGAACGCCGCACCCTGGGCGCCTCTCGGTCTCACCTCATCTGTCCCTTCATGTCCTCATGAGACCTTCAACTTGAGCCCTGGAACTCTGCAGGGCTCCACAGGCCGCCTGGCAGGTGTCCACGGGCCCAGCGGGAGCTGCCTCCTGCTGCATCCCCTGGACAGGGAGGGGCCTCTTCCCAGCTCCGGCACCATCAGGCAGGGAGGGACAGGGATGGGGCCAGAGCCAGCACCTGAGCTGGGAGGCAACTGATCAGAGTTTGGCAGGAGAAGGCAGAACATTCCAGGAAGGGGGACCTGCCACAGGGAGCGGCCGTGTGACCCACATCCTAGTTTCTTTCTTATGAAATAGAGGAACCACCCCGACCCCAGCACAGTCAGGTGACATCGGAAGGAACACTAACGCCTCGGTTCATTCCACTGCTCTCCACACAAGCGCCGTCAGCAGCTCCTTGGTGTTTGGGGGGGTGGACAATGCCTGTCAAAGAGGTCGCCTGCTGGGCGCTGTCGCCTGCTGCTCCTGTAATCCCAGCCACTCGGGGAGGCCGAGGCAGGAGGAGCGGGGATTTGAGGTCCCAGCCTGGGCCACTTAGCGAGACCCTCAACTTAACAAGAACCTGTCTCAAGTTAAACAACAGGAACTGGGGACGCAGCTCAGTGGTAGAGCCCTCAATCGCCAGTACAAAAAAAGAAAAAATGCTGCCCTGGTTTGGGGTCATCAGAACCAGACCCTCGCAGTGACTGCGGGGCACGGTCATCTGGGAGAAGATCACAGGGGCCCTGCGGGGGCGCCAGGGAGCGGGCCGCGCTGGCAGACCTCGGGGAGGCACCGAGCTCCCACCCCAGGGCGCTGCGCAGCGGTGTCCACCCGATTCCCATCAGGCTTTGGCTGAGGGCTGCTTCCACCCTCCTGTGTCCCGGGAGGACACACCGCTGTGGTCTCCGGAGGCCCCGACAGGGTCACGGGTACCTGCCTTCAGCAACCTGCCTCACGTACCCGTGAATTTAGAGGAGGCGCAGCCCACCTGCTCCAGCTGAGCGGCCTTTATCAAAAAGGAGCCGGGCGCAGTGCGCATGACAGTAATCCTGGAGGCTGAGGCAGGAGGATCTCGAGGCTCTAAGCAACTCAGTGAGATTCTGTCTCTGAAGAAAATACAAAATGGGGCTGGGGCTGGGGCTCAGAGGTCGAGGG